AGCGTTCAGTTGAATCCCTGTCTCCGCCAAACAAGGAAAATCAAAAGCAAGAAACACAGTTCTCACGAATTTCCAGAGGGAGAACCGCCCGACACCAGAAGGAGTTCGCTATCCAAAAGAGGAGGCCAGACTTCCAATTCCTACAGACTGGACGATTCATCGGTAGAGGAACAAAACGCAAAGACCCTCCGTCGCAAGCTAAAAATCGGCCTCGAGAGTCAGAATCCAAAGCTTGAATTTTTCTTACTTGGCAGGAATTCCTCCACAAAGAATGGCGGACTTCAAAAAGCAAAATTGTGAGTGATTTTTTCCCCTCCTTCTTAGCTGAACATTGAGTCAATTTTATATCATATGCACAAAATTCCTACGAATTTTTTTGTTTTTATCTCAAGCGATGTCATTTCTGTTAAGTTGTTAAAATCAAGAGGCTTAAAATTGTTTTCAAGAGTTCACGATAATTTAATTTGTTCATGATTTTAGTCGAAAAGAGTCAGATTTATGAGAATTAAAATTAGAACTGATGGAGAAACTTTTGTGAACAATGTAAAGCAACTATGTGTTACTGATGTAAAGTGTAACTGATCATTGAAATCTTTTTTATTATTTTGTGCGTAAATATGCATCAAGGGTTGCAAAGTTATTTTGTTTCAAAAGTGAAATGCTTTTCAGGCTAAATATAAAGCTTGAACGTTTAACTAACTATTGACGAATTTAAATGATTTACTTGCAAGCAAGTGAAAATTATGAATGAAGTTAAGTTAGGCTCTCCAATTTACACGAAAGTTGAATGTCCTTTTGCGATTTTCTAGTCAACCATCTATACATGCCACCATTCAAAAAACTACCAAGAAGAAATTCCCTGAAACCAAAACTCAAAAGAATGAGTTCCACCCATAATTGCGGATAATATTGTTAAAAGCCGACGAATTTCTTGCAAATTTAAGTAATCAAACTGGAAGAAAGATAATGAGCACTCTTATAAGAGACAGAATACAAAATAAACCCCCAAATGCTGACGCTTACCGCTTTATTCGCAAAGTCATAGAAGAAACACAACTTAATGCCCACACATTTGTTTTGTCTGAAGAAAAAGTGATTAAAGTTGTAATCAGAGGCCTGCCAGTGACCCTGAAACCCCAACTATGTTGTCCAAGAACTAACAAACCAAGGCTTTATCATTAGTTATATAGCAATCATAAGAAACACAAAGGAAAATAAGTGAATTCCGCTTTCCTTACTTTACCTTCCTAAGACTGAAGAATCAAAAAACATTTATCATATCAAGTACATCGGATATATGAACTTCACTGATTGGTAAAACGGAGGCCTGGCCCTCCACGATGTTTTCGTTGTCGGCAATACTTCCACAGCTCATTTTTATGTACTCATGACTGGGTTTGTGTGCGTCGTGGTGCAAATCATGAACATTCCACATCCAGCTAAGTTTTCCCTGTGTCCAGCCGGACAACAACAAACCAAGCAGCAGGTCACACCCAGCAATCCACCAACCAAAAGTCCTTGGAATTTAGAAGACAACAACTTTCCACTTCTCAACAAAGAAATGGATTCTCCGGAGCCAGAAAATACTAAGAACTTCAACTTATCTGAAACTCCAACGACAAGCTCCAGATTTTCATAATTATTGAATCTGGTTTCATTAAAAACAATATGGACTGTTATTATAGAAGGCCTCAAAGCTATGAAGAAGAAAGCCTCGCCAATAGACAAAATAGGTGCAATTGTGGACACTCTTGACAAAATTAGTAATTGCCTTTAACATGCCAAGCAGTATTAATCTGAGAAAAATCAAAAAATTTTCATGGAATGCTAATGGCCTATTTAATAAGAAAGACGAATTTGGCGATCTTCTTCTGGAATTCGAACCTGATGTAATTCTTGTACAGTAAACGCATTTGAAACCTGCACTAAAAGTGCTCTACACAAACTATTCTACTTACCGTGCGGATCGAGAAACCGGACGCGGATCAAGAATTATCACTTTCTTAAAAGGAGTATAAAACATCAACTCAAACAAAAGTTTTCTACCTCTTTTCATAATTATTGAATTTGGTTTCATTAAAAACAATATGGACTGTTATTATAGAAGGCCTCAAAGCTATGAAAAAGAAAGCCTCGAAGCTCAAAACTATGAAAACGAAATGCTGGAATCAAGAAGCTAGCCCTAGAAAACGATGAGAAATTTTTAGCATGATTCAAAATAAAAAATTATACCATTCATGCCCCCGATAAACGTACGCATTACGGCTATAATAGAACTTCAATCATTGACTTTTTTTAATCCAACAACCTCGCCTATAATTGTCAAATTTCTGTTATTCCAGCTCTTTCATTTGACCATAATCCCATCTTTCTTGAAATCAGCATAAATAGTTACTTACCTTCACTGGGCAAGAGTATTGGTGTGACAGACTGGAAAAATTCATAAAAATCATTTCAGATACCATTCCTGAAAATCCCAAAATCATCAAAGAAGACGATATTGAGTCTGAAATCAAGACGTTTACCTCCTATATTCAACATGCTATCAAGTTTTCTACCAATAAATTCATTAGTTCCCATCTTTTTCTTCCTCGTTCTGCCAACATAGGACAAAATATCAAATGCAAAAATCATATTAGGAAAACTGGCAAAATACAAGAGACCCAAGGCTCAAACCGCAACTGAACGCTCTTCAGCGTGACATTAGTAACTACAAGACGCAACGCCGGAGAAACTTACTTAACTCTCTCGGAACTAAAAACACATAAACACAGCTCCTTAAAACACAAAGAATATCCAGGTGCTGATGGTATTTCTACCAAAGCGCTGAAACATCTTCCTATCAATGCTATCACTTGTCTTACTAAGATAATCAACTCTATCATCAAATTCTCTTACCTTCCTAATATATGGAAACATGCCAATCATCTTCAACTTCCCCAAACCTCGTCAAAACTAAACGTTTCCACAAAACTACTGCCCACTCAGACTTCTCAATCAACTTTCTAAAATAGCTGAAAACATTATTCGATATCATTTAATTAAATTATTCCATAACTTATACAATAGTGGCTTAAATTTCAGCGACCCTTAGATGTGAATTTCAATCTATTGTTTTTGTTCCGGTGCGCCGGAACAGAACAACTCAAGCTAACTCTGTTTCGCTTTGGCACTATGCCAAAGAACATTAATTCAATTTCACTACATCTAGACCTCTTCTGTTTGATGAAGAAATTGACTGGGTTGACGAAGTTAAATATCTAGGAGTCATTCTTGATTAAAAAAAAAATTGACTTTCCAGAAATATCTCAGGGAAACTGTGAAAAAAATCAATATCACGCTTGCCTATGCGCCCACTTCTTGGCAGAAGTCATATGTCCGTTTCTTATAAACTCCTCTTATATAAATCTATACTTCGACCAGCATTACTCTATGCTAGTCCTTTCTGAGGCCACGCTGCCAAAACACACTTTCAACACATCCAAGTTCTTCAAAACAAAACACTTAGAGAGATTATCAACGCGACATGGTTCATTCGAAATTTGTATATTCACCGTGCTCTCAGAAAAGACGCAATTCAAGATTATATTCAAAAACTTGTCAGAAATTTCTTCTATTCAGTTTTCACTCATGCTAACAACTGCATCAACTCTTATATAGATGTTCTCCATTTCCCAGAAGAAAAGCACAAAATTCTTAGTAGTTACTCTCATGAGCAAAACGACTGACGTCATGAAAACTGTATCAGTAGATTTCCCTTTTCCTTAGTTGGCTGTTGCTTGACATCTAGGTAGCGATCAAATTTTTAGGCTCTAATGATTACTGATTAAGAGAGGTCTTTACATAATCTAAATTCTAATATAAATATTAGTGAGTTTGACCAGTTTCTTAGTCGAGAAGTTGGATCCTGTAAAGTGGCCGTTACTCAAACATACTGGAAGGAAAAACTGTTGTTTGTACCTGTAGTATTTCCTTTGTCTTTTAAATCAGATCACTCGATTAAAAGCTTCCGATGATTTGCACCTAGAGTAATATTTATTTCTATAAATTTCTCTAGGTTCAGTGGCGTAGCTAGGGTGGAGCAAGGCGGGACATCTGTCCTCGGGCGCAGCATCCGGGGGGCGCCAAATTGATGGTACAAAAGTTTAGAATAAAGTGTTTTCCATTCGTGGCAAACAGAAAGGGGCGCAAAGTCTCCAGTTGTCCCCGGGTGCTGAAAACCTTAGCTACGTCTAGGTTCTGTCTAGGTTCTGATTATGAGCTAATAATGACACGCCCCATTTACCACACTTTCCTATCTTTAGTTGAATTTATTGAACTTCTCATATTTTATTTAAATCTATCGGTTGTTGCGAAAGAATATACTGATTGATATACATTAGTTCTCTAATAGCCATACTTTTCCTTCTGTAAAATTTCCTTGTCCCACTCCTATCAGAGAAAATTTGACTGAGATTTCTACACTGGTTCGTTGCGTCTACGCATGCCATTCTTGCCCCCCCCCCCCCAGATTCAGTAACTTCTTATTTATTCATTATTTTGCATTTATTTCTTATTTTGCAGAACCTTTCAATAACTGTTTCAAACGATTTTAAGTAAAGTAAGTTTTAAGTAAATTATAAAATACTTTGACAACTTAGAATAAAGAAGTGCTAATTATTATTATTATTATTTTGCTGGTGTGTGTAGTGCTGTCATTTTTTTATTTAATGGTTGTTTTTTATTATTATTATTATTATTAATATAATGATTATTTTGCGTGTGTTTGTAGTGCTGTCATTTTTTTTATTTAACGGTTATTTTTTTCTTAAGATGGAGCAGCCATCTGTTTAAGATTAGTAGATTTTAGAATTATGGTAACCATATGTATATCCCGAAATAGACCGAGCAAAATTTTGATTGACATTACAATCGACCAATGAAATTATCCGATGAAGTGACCTTGCGCTCACTAACCATTTACGATAGCAGCGCATCTTCCAGTAGCTAACTTTTGGGGAGGGGTGAGATGGAAGGCGACAAGTATATTCGCATAGTAACCTAGCTTCAGCCCAGGGCCAATTGGCGTCAGACGGGAAGAAATTTCTTCCTTCATATAACTGTGTTCAGACGATGGTGGAGGATGTTCCTGCTTCGACGGTAATGTAGAAGAACCTAATAAACATTAGTAGTCACACCTTGCAGAAACTGTTGATTATACGTCGTGCATATCTAAATCATTGAACATATTTACTTCACAAAGAGTCATGAATCGCCCACGTTTAGAAGTACCACGGGAACTCACTAGCTTGTTGTTAGATTTTACTGTGAATGTGCTGTTGGAGAAACCGGCTGATATTGTGGATTATGCTGTTAGTTACTTTACGAAGCTAAGAGATGAAGGGCGAACGAATAATCGGGAGCAGACTGTTCCTATACCATCAGTAACATGTGAAGACGACGATGTTCTTAGTGAAGACGATGAAATGGAAGAACCTCCTGTTCGAAGTAAGTTCCTATTCCTTAATTTAAGCGTGTGTAATTTTGATTTATATTCAGTTTACTTAATTGACTGTGTTGTAAAGTATTTGACAGACGATAAAGAGAGTATCTGGTGTATACTTCAGTAGGCATTACAACAGTTCATTTTTTAGATACGTATTATTTCTGAAATGCTCATCCTTCTGTTTTATAGGAAACTTTCTAGAACAAATTTAAGAGCAAACAATTCTGTTGAATTCATTTCAGGTGACTTCTGCATAAGACTGATCAAAGTTTTGCTGCTGAATGAAATTAGCTTGTTACTAGTAGTTTTCATGATCAGATTAAAAGTCTAATATAAAAACAAGTTCTGAGTAGTTTTCATGATCAGATTAAAAGTCTAATATAAAAACTAGTTCTGAGTAGTTTTCATGATCAGATAAAAGTCTAATAAGGTAAAAACTAGTTATGGCAAAAAGGCTATTTGTAAAATTTAAATTGTCTCTGACTATTCATTTTGCATTAATTATAGTATAACATTAATAAACTGAATTGAAAGATAAGTTTTCTTTCTTTTAGTGCATTTACAAGTTTGCATATTATATTTTAATTTTTGTATTAATTTTTCATGTTTACTCATTTGATTCTCCTGAAGTGTGTTCCCAGAAATTAGAAAATAACTTATGAGTGACCACTTTCAATAACTTTCATGGGCATTGCCAATAATCTATCAGACAAATAGATTCTAAAAATACACTCTTTTGAATTATTGTGTACAATGTGATTCTGTGTTCTTTTTCCCTTTCTTCAGTGAAATTTCTAGTGGATTATTATGAATCGTCACCCTTTTTTAAACAATATCAAAACCTGTGGAATATTTTATGCTTCATTCTTAGAAAAATAATGATAGTTGTAAAATTGTAACATGATAACTGTAAAATTAATATTTATACTTGCCATACATTTTCAAAGCATATTTGTTCATTAATAGTTCAAATTTGGTCATTTTTTTATAATTTTTTCTCTGTAAATCTTGCAATAAATGTGTATCATAAAACGGTACTATTCCGTTTTGAGGACCGTAAAAAAATTGCAGCGAAAATGTATGCGCAAAAGCGCCAAATCTAGAAGACGCTCCCATTTAACTGCACGCCAAATCTAGCATACGCGCTGATTTCAAATTGTGTAAGTTTATATAGTTCTATATTTCTTAAGATGGCATTGAAATACTAGTTTAATTTTTAAATCCTTTTTTAGTATCCTATGGATTTAACAATTTGGGAATTGCCCATGACGAAAAGTCGGCAATAGAATTTTGCGTAAAGTGCAGAATCACCCACTGTTTGACGCGTTTTTAAGAATTGCACATACTCAGTATCCATGTGCACATCGACCTATTTTCACTTTAAAAAAATCCCAGAATTGTACAAATAGGGCACTGCGCACACCCTTGGCTTTATCTATGTACACATCGACCTATTTTCACTTAAAAAGTAAAAGAAAATTGACAAAAATCCAAATGTTTTTACGCTTGTAAAAAGCGGCAACAAATAGTGAGCGTTCTGCACTTACACCGAGAATATTTTCAAAGAAAAGGCATCATTCATTATAGAAAATTACGTTTGAACAACCAACGAGATTAAATTATGCTTTAGCGATGAGTCGGTAGCGAAGTAGCGATGCAGGCATCCATTCAATTATGTTTAGCAATTTTTATATAAATTGTAATAACGATCTGAAATAGTTATATTCTTATGCTTCCATTCAGTCATGTTTAGCCTTTTTCATATAAATTATAATAATAAAAAGGTATTATATGAAATTAACCTTTCTAAATTAAAACAATAATCTTAGATAGTTATTTACTATTATACTTCCTTTCTTGCCGCAATTATTAGGGTTGCCGCAATTGTTTTTGGCAGCATTAGCATCAAACAATAGTTTGGCGATTTTTTACGGCCCTCGAAACCGAATAGTAGACATAAAACTTATCAGTATTTTATATCTAACGTATAAAGTAAAAATTTTATCTTACGTATAAAGTAATAAATTTTTAACTAGTTTAAGGCATAATTTGCCTTATTTCTTTTAAGGTTTCTGAGGTAATATCGGGTTGTTATTTTTGACTGTAGTACTTTTGTTTCAGTTTTGCATTAAAGTAGACTTTAAGGTACCCCTTGTATTATGGCAAAGTTGTTGTTTCATTTATGGTAGCTTGAGTAGTTGAATGTTATGGAAATCCTATTGTGACATAATCGGGTGCATGATTCTGGGAAACTTTGAATCATCGTATGTTTTGTAAGCATTTTTGTGGTGTGTGTTGGTTTTATTGTTTAGACGGTAGAATGGCTGAATGTAGTAATATTATTTTGAAGTTTCTGTACGATTTGAAACGAAAGGGGAAATGAACGTTAATTGACTAGTGTGTAAATGATGGTTTACTGGTAGCCATTATAAGTATTCTCTATGTAGGAAGGATATGCATCTAGTCGAATGTAAAATCCGTTTAGATGGATTTGTAGGAAGAAAGGTTCAGATGTGGCTATGCCGATATACGGATTTGAGTTCAGATAATTTTAAGAAGTTTTTAGATGCTGTTAAGGAATTTTGTGTGCCACAGACTAAAGACAAAGGAACTTCTAAATAGGGTAAGTGGCAATCATGCAACCAATTACATCATAATAGGGTTTCCATAACATTAAACTACTCAGGTTACCATAAATGAAACAACAACTTGGTGATAAATGAAACAATAACTTAGTGATAATCCAAGGGACATCCTTCATCTACTCGAATCCAAGGAAATAACATAAAAGTGGAAATACATGTTATCTAATCTGCAAAGTGCAAAAAGGGAACATTGATTTACCTTATTTAGAAATGGTTGATCTTTGGATTATGGTTTTTTGGCAAAAATTTGGCGACCAACTCTGCTACAGTAACCTTCTACTTTTTTTTTTTTGCGCCATTTTGTCTTCACGAAGTAAAGACATGTTTCTTTTCTTTTTATTTACTGAACACTTTTTCCAACAATCTGCTAGCCGAATTACACTTATGATAGAAATTCTATGGAACAAAACTGCTTAATCGTGACAAATATTAACTGCAAAATTGGGAAAAAGTGTAGAATCACAAACTCCTTGCCGCGTTTTTAAGAATCGCATATACACAGTAACTATGTACACGTCGACTTATTTTTACTTTAAAAAAATCCCAGAATTGCACAAAAATGGCATTGCACGCACTCTTGACTTTATCCATGTACATTGCTTTTTTCTCTCAAATTAGAAAAATTTGCACGAAAATGCAGGAAAATTTTGTGAATCTTTAAACTCGGTAAAAAGCACATATATGAAATTACCTGATCGTGAAAAAGTATATACCCTTTCCAAGGAGGAACATTTCCACGTATAAAATAAATAAAATATCCAAAAACTTTCCCCTCTAAATTATCTATTATAAACGCCACTTGCAAATTTATAACGCAAACATTAAAAATGGTTGCAAATACTTAGTGTCAAATATTTAAATTATTTCCATGCACATTTACTTTTACTGAAACGTATTCCAAATTGCTACAAACATATAATTCACAAAATAACTATCATTTAATTAAAATATAATTAAACCATGTACACGTCGACTTATTTTTACTTAAAAAAATATCCCAGAATTGCACAAAAATGGCATTGCGCACACTCTTCACTATATCCATGTACACTGCTTTTTACTTATAAATTAGAAAAATTTCACAAAAATGCAGGAAAATTTTGTGAATCTTTAAATTCGGTAAAAAGGACATATATGAAATTACCTGATTGCGAAAAAGTATATACCCTTTCCAAGGATGAACATTTGCACATATAAAATAAATAAAATATCCAAAAATTTTTCCCTCTAAATTATCTATTATAAACGTCACCTGCAAATTTATAACGCATACATTAAAAATGGTTCCAAATACTTAGTGTCAAATATTTAAATTCTTTCCATGCACATTTACTTCTACTCAAACGTATTCCAAAATACTACAAACATAACTCACAAAATCACGATCATTAAATTAAAAAAACTGCTTAAAATATAAGTAAGCACATACATTAAATTAATAAAAATTAGCTTACAATCCTAATTACTTTAAACTAATTCATTGCTAATAACAATTTTCCAATAATACCATATTAATTTATTTATTCCTTACATGCATAAAAATAATATCCTCAAATGATTAAAAATACTAACTTACCTAATCTTCTGCACAATCTTGATTGCATGGTGGATAAACTTTTCTTATAGATTCAATAATCCAGTAGTCAACTGGCAGTCTAATAAGAAATTAATAAAATTTCACCCATATTCAAACGACTTTCAGCAAACCACGTACCCTTCCTTACACTCTGTTTCACAAAATGTCCATTTTCACCAGATTTCTTGCACCGCCATTCAAACTTATCTGTAATATTCTTCCTTTCACACAATCTCATTTCATTCCCACATGTCGGACATTCATACTTATCCGCAATTAATCCTACACTTATACACCATTCAAGCAATTCTTTTGGATTATCAGATAAACACAATAAAAATTTAGAATTCACTTTAGATAGTGTCATGGGATCCAAAAATTAATCAACACTCTTTCACACAACACACAATGAAGTTAAATACAAAATGCTATAAACTACTGCAGATATTTTTCCAATTTTCCCCCCTTTTCTGATTAAAGAACTGTAATTTGTCCATAAATGTCACATGACATATCTTATGATCTCTCATTTCCCTCACACAAAATAATGCGTAATCGGAACTGAGTACTTCTCACATTATTCCCAAAGTCCTAGGTAGTAACCTTTATCGCCTACCAAAATGTCGCCAAACTACCTGTTACCATATTCCAAAGATTAGCCTTAGAAATTTCTGTGTCTTCGCTGTGTCACACACAATGCCTTAACAGCATCCCAAAACTGTTTAAAATGATCTGAACTAGAATCTGTATAGTGCTATTGACACATAAATTCAGAAACCAA